GTAGATCGCGTCCGCGCCTTGATCGAAGGCGCGCTCGAAGAACAGGGCGCCCACAGCGATGGTAAGGGCGAAGGTGGAGGTTCTGCGGAATAGCAGGGAGTACAACCTCCCAGTCAGCGTCGGGGCCGCCATGTTTCTCCACTGTCGAAGTCGCGCTACCGCGTCTGCGCCACGGCCTCCTTTGCTCGCCAAAGGCCCTTAACGCGCAACACTTTATGGGATTTGTAGTTCCTCTGAATCACGGTGCTAGTCGTTTTTCAATTAGAGGTAACTCATGGCTTGCGCGGGAGAAAAGTCTCATGAGACTCAAACCAGGGCAGCCCAAATTGTTTGGTAAGACTTATTACACAATTTCACTCCCCGATCATTTCCTGCTGATTAAATATTTCGAACTGGGCAACACCCAGAAGCCCTCGCGCTCCCTCCACCTCCCTCCCGCGCCATCTCAGCTTTGATTCCCAGAGGTTTCTGGGAAGCGCGGACTGATACCCAAGGAAGGACTACGAATCCCAGCAAGCAGTTCGCGACGCAAGGACACAGGAGGAGGAGCTCAGAGCCGTCGGGTCGCGAGGTGCAAGGTACAGCCTTTAGCGGGATGTTGAGGGGCGAGTTTTAGTCTCCTTCCCCAGCCATGGGCGGACTTGGGCTCTTTCTTCTAAGTACGCGCGCTCCGCGGCATGTTGCACCATTTAACGGGATGGGGAGTGGATAGAGAGACGAGGGGGCCTGGGCGTCCGGGTCCCCGGCTTGTCTCTCCCCGTCTCCACTGTCAGCCCCAAGTCCAGGCCTAGAGTTGGAGCCTGTGGCAAAAGTCGAGTCCTGGGAGCTGAACCCCCTAGCCGGGTTTCAGGGGAAGGGAAGTTCTGCCCGTGCTTCCTAGTTCCCTCCTCCCTGGGCTTTGCAGCCGAGAACCCTGGCTTGCAAGGAGGGAGAACTGGGATCACACTCATTCCTTCTTGGGAATAGAAAGAGCAAGGGCTTTGGAGTATTGGTGCCATTCAACAAATGTTTTCTGAGCGCCTCCTCTGGGCTATGCGCTGGGGATCCAGCGGTGAACAAGTCCCTGCTCTCATGGAACACTCATTCTACTGTGTGGATGGATGGGGAGGTGCAGTAACGACAAATAAGTACTTAAAGCAAAGACGAACAGAAGACAGGTTGATTGGGGAGGGGATGGTGGTGCTATTTTAGCTGGGGTGCCTAGGGCGACAGTTAATCAGAGACCTGAATGAATAGTAACAGGTGAAACAGGAAAACGTTGGTGCAAACGCCTTGAGGCTGCTGCAGTCCTGGGGTGTTTAAGGGAAAGAAGTAGACTATGAAGAGGTGGGTTCGGGTCAGCTCATGTCTGGCCTTGTAACCTATGGTAAGGAGTCCTATTTTTTTTCTAATTGCACTAGGAAGTCACTGAAGGGTTTTAGGCTGGGATGTAACATGATCTAATTTACATTTTAATGTAATTCTGGCTGCTTTCTGGAGACAGACTAAATAGGGGAAGTTATTGTTGTGGGTTAGTAGAGGCGGGATGGTAATTTAGGGTGTGGGTTGGAGTAGTGCTCTGATTTGGGAGGTATTTGGGGAGGTAGGACAGACACCACAAGTTGACAGATGGATGTAGGGCATGCAGGGAAGGGGAATCAAGGACTAAATTTTGCCCTCAACAATTTAAAGTCAATGAGGATGATATTAAGTTCAGTTTGGCCGTATTAAGCTTGAGATGCC